CCGAGGGGTGGGCTGGATGGTATTTTATCAGTGTCTCTGTTTACATGCAAAGATTTTTGCCAATCCGATTGATTACATTCCGATTATAGATTCAGACTGAGACGTTTTCTCACTCTACTCAACAATTCGATGGAAAATCTTTGTTTACATGCTCACTACAAGTAATCAGACCCAAAATGTCGCGCATGCGTGGAGAACCACTTAGAGTAAATGTTACCCTGACAGCAAGCATCACGTGAGTCCAGTCCGCGTGAGATGAGCTTCCAGTTGACGCGCTTGTGTTTTAATTGCTTTAAAATGATGTCAGACTCAGGAAAACGTCCTTCACATGTCCTTATTAAAGAAGGCCGAGAGGAAGACGTCGTGTTCTGAGACACATAAGCTGGACGTCCGTCCCACCGCCGTCTTTTAAAGATCAGAGCATAAACTTCGTCTCCTCTGCAGACCAGTTTCTGCTCCGTCATGTTGAACGGTATAAACTTTACTACGACGTGACGAACATGATCAGAACGGACTTAAACTTTCCGATAGGGAATGTAATCAGATACAGGCGTTTACACGGATATTATTCTTCTATTTAACGGATTATTTACAGGATTACCCACCTCGATCAGTCGGATAGAAACTGTATTCTGGATGGCCTCAATCAGACTAGACTATTCCGATTGAGGTGTTTACATGGACGTATTCTATTCTGATTGAGCTATTAGTCGGATTATTAACGGATTATTAGGCTGCATGTAAACGTGGCTATTGTCATTTAAGCAATAGAACACAAGAGGGAGTGTGTTATCTCAGATAACATCACAGCTGTGATTTGGTCGCAGGCACGAGCTGAAGGCTACGTCAGAGTAACGAACTCCGCTCACTCACTGCTCAGTCTGCTGTAAGCCTCACCTTCTGAAGTACAGACTGAGCCATAAAACTGCCGCAATATCAAGTTCAGCTCAGTTTTGTCAGTTTCTGCCAGATCAGTATTAATGTTGTTTTGTTCAGCCAGTCTGTAAAGCATCTTACAGCCCATTTAGTTTGGCGAATGGTGTTGGGTTCATTTCTGGCTGATTCCAGGTTGTTCAGCTGTTCTTCTGTCTCAGCTGCCGACTGAAAAGCTGCTCAGTGGTGACGACAGTTTGGGAATTTAGTGTCGTCTCATCTTCAGAGTCTGACCAAATCGGCTGTCGGTCAAATGTGATCTTAAAAGTGTCCGTTTTCTGTTTGTGGCAAAGTAAGAAGTAAAAAACTTTCAAATGTCTCGAGCGTCTCCTACAGCTGTCAGAGTCGTTGCTTAGCAACAGTGTCTCAGCGGAGTGATAGTGTTTGTTAAACGTGATGCTATGGCTGGAAATCTGGAACCAAACCTGTTTTCTAACAGCTCACAAGATATCAAATACGATTTTTTGAAAACTTGTTTGCATTTGTTCTAATGTTGTTTAGCTATTTTTCCCAAGCAAAATCATGTTTATTACTTTGATAAATGGTTTGAAACAATTTACTTGGGGGCCTAAGACTTTTGCACAGTACTGTGTGTATATATACATACATTGAGTTGCCACTTTATTAGGTACAGTTGGATTTACTGTACTACAGAATGTAAAACGTTGAAGAGAAATCATTATACTCAGTTTGTTTAAAAACAAGTACCGTGTCTATTGTCACTTATTGTGTATCGTGACGATATCTTCAAATATTGTGATATTTTTGCCATATTACACACCCCTATTCAAAATGAGTGGAATTCTGTTAAGTTACAGTATCACTAAAGCTTTTAAATCGCTCATCACTATAAATCAGTCAGTATAGACGAGTGATGCGAAATGGACAGAGTGCAAGTGTTGTAGTTATACTGCGATTGAGATGTTTGAGATATATAGATCGTAGAGGTTGTGCATCATTTTGTAGAAACGGAGTAATAAGAAATTAGTTTTTTTTTGTAGATTTTTTTTGTCTAATTTCCAAACGAATGTTGTAAATAACCTCAAAAGGCTTTAAGGACGCTCAATTTCATCATCTGATACTTTTGTATTTGTTAACACGTGTCCTTTGTGTGACTTACTCAAGCTCAGTCTATTAATCCTACCTATCTGATTGATCCAGACTCCTGGTGTCGTTTCTCTGCTGCAGGTTCATTAAGACTTCTCGGTTTCTGAGCTGCTGAACTGATGTTAAGTGTGTTTGTTGGTTGAACTGCAGCTGAAATGTATTTGGTGATATGACTGGTGTGGAATTGTGCAGAATTGTGTAGAACTGAGGTGTAACCGCTGCCCATAGACTGTTATTGGGGTAGGAGAGTCCGAGCACACTACGTTGCAGTGCATGCTGGGGACTGTAGTGCAGCGCAACACAAAACAGGCTAATATTAATAGAAAATTAAAATACTCTTTACTTGGGCCTGATGGGATCGTGTGGTGGGCCTGATGTGGCCCACAGGCCTTGTGTTTCATTACACCACATGCGTCAAAGCCTACCACTAAAATAACTCCTGTGTGTGTATGTAGTCAGTATGAGCCACATTTCTGTGTAATCTGTCGTTGGTCGCCTGTTTAGTCGCTGAAGTTAGTCTGAGTGCAGTGCAGTGGCTGATTCGCATGCAGTTGTCTGGGTTTCAGTTTGAGCGCTCCGGTGTGTAACACTATATGACAGAAGGTTAAGTGTGTGTTTGTAACGTTAGAGGCTGTTGGTTTGTGTTTGCTTCAGTCTTCATGTACTGTTAGATGTAAACGAGTGGGAAAGCTGTAATAATGAAACGCAGTAATATCGTATTCTTTTGTTTTCTTTCAGCTCTGACGGTGGTTATTGTGGTCATTTCATAGCTTTAAGTTTCAAGTAATAAATACTCTGAACAGTCCAGTCTGAAGCCACCATGCTACAGATGGAAATCATGACCAAAAGTGCCTTTTTTACACAGAAATGTTCCAAATCCTACGTTAATTCTGTGTTTGGCCTCTTTGCCTCTTTTCTTTCTCTCCTTTTTTTCTCTGTTTTCCTCTTTAGCATTTTTTTCATTCTTTCTTTTTCTTTCTTTCATTCTTTTTTCCTGTCTTTGTATATTTATGTCAGGAATGCACCTCAAATTCATTCTCTCTCTCTCTCTCTCTCTCTCTCTCTCTCTCTCTCTCTCTCTCTCTCTCTCTCTCTCTCCACTAGGCGATGAAGCGGATTTGTAAGGCGTGTGTGAAGTACGCCGAGTGGAAGCAGAGGCATAACCCCGGTTACAAGCCGTGGCTTTACCCTGAGCAGAACCCACTGTCCAACATCCCTCTGACCGAACTGTCCATCCAGCACGCGGACTCGCTGGAGAACATCGACGAGAGCTCTCTGAGCGAGGGCAAGGACGAGCGCGCTGAGCACAGCGACGACGACGGGCCCAACTGACACTCGCGCACTCACACACGGGCCAGAGCAGCGCGAGTAATAAGACACGCTGTAAAGGGTCCTAGAGTAAAACTGTCCACACGCAAAATGACCAAAATGACAAGTCACCCCCCCCCTCACATACGTCCACATTCCCTCTCTCTAAGGCTCTCCAACCTGTAGATACAGTTGTATGCAAAAGTTTGGACAAAGAATAATTTTCTAAATCAAAAACGTAACATAAACAATATTTGGCCATATTTATGTTTTTGTTTTATAATAGATGGAAATTCTACACTAAAATTTGTAAATTTACAGAAAATGCCGTATTTAAATTTGTTCCCGAAGCATAATTTGACCAGAGGCCTTTCAGTTTTTGCATACGACTGTACATACAGTACTCTGCAGAGGTTTTAGGCACCTGAGACGATTATATTTCAGTATTTATTCGCTCATAAAAACACTAACATTAGAATAAATACAAATAACAAGTGATTTGACTTACTGTGTTCACTCAAACATTTCCATACTGTTCTTTGAGAAAGCTTGGTATTATTTGTAGATATATTTGATTTGTCTAATCAGTACTTCATTAAATGAAGTCAGATGTGCTGGTGGTGAGGAGATCTTTACAATGACTGGGAATCTTTTTGAAAACAAGACATTTTGTGTTACTTTACTGCATTAATGTTTGTTTGCATTTCTTCTAATGTTATTTGGAATTCTTTCAAGCAAAATCACATTTATTACCTTAATAAATGGTTTCATACAATTTGCTTGGGCGCCTAAGACTTTTGCACAGTACTGTGTATATATGCATACACTGAGTTGCCACTTTATTAGGTACCTTGTACCTACACTCATTGGTATCCCTACCAACAACTACAGACTGGAGCTCTTTATCAGCCCCCTCTCTACCCCCCCATTCATCACTGGTCAGTTTCTGATCACACTGGTAGGAGTGTATCAGGCTGTGTCCACTTTATTGGAAACCCCTCCTTGTAGCTAGTAAGTCCACTATATACATACAATTATAGACTGTAGCTCATCTGTTGAAGCACAGTTTGCATTTGTCATCCTCTGGCCTTTCATCAGTGGTCAGTGTCTGACCACAGAGCTACTCTTGGCTGGATATTTTTGGGCAGTGGTCTGCTCTCCAGCTAGCTGTGACATCACTGTGAATGAGACACTTGTACCAGCACCATAAACACTACCACGTCTCTGTCACTGCTGTGATGATAATGATGCACCAAACCAATAATATGTGGGCAACAGCGGTCAGAAAATGGCTAATGATGAATGAGATAAAGGGGGGCTGACAAGCTGTTCATCAACAGATGAGCTCCAGTCTGTAATTGTACCCACATATTGGACGATGAGTGGAAGCACAAGGTAGGTGTTTCTAATAAAGTGGCCACTGACTGTATATGTAGTGTCTGCACCACTTTGTACTTCTGATCACCACTGCAGAGTTACAGCCCTCTTTGCGGAGGAAGCGCTCTTGATTGTTTGTGCCCCCTTTAAAGTGTGTAGTGATGCACTGGAGCATCACGGCGCTTTCTGCTCCAAACACTAGAGCGGATTCGGTGAATGAATGAATGTAGTGCAATTTAAAGTCAAGTAAAAAACTCGGATCCATGTCCGGAACTTTTGGCAATATGATGTGTTTGTGTGTTTATTTAAATGGAGAAATCTCTCTGGATATTGTTGTTTTTTCAACTCAAGTGAATCTCGCGCTCCGTATTCGAGCTATTAGCTCTCCATTTTCCACCCACAACTGCATCAGTGTTGGTGAAAATCCCATTCAGCCTGATGAGAAACTGTAGAGATCTTTGTTTAGAGTAGTAACATAATGAGGCAGTTTTCCCAGGTAGGGGCAGTTTCCAGATTAAAAAGCTGAATTTTGGTGCTGGACTTTGCTGTTTTGGCTAATAAAAAGTTGGAAACGACGCCCAATTTGTCTCCATGCTAATTTAAGTTCAATTACAGCCAAGAACTTTCTGTCCGAGTCCAACCCAACCTGAACCACGACGCTAAAGTTTGAGTCCGACATAATTTTGTCCAGACCAACCTGAACCACATCAACTTTTGAGTCCAGAATTAACCTGAATACAACTAAATTCTGTCCAAAACTGACCAGAACCCACCTGTTAGTTAAAGGTGATGAAATAAATAAAATAAAAACTTACATTTCTAATTTAATTAATAAAATGGATTATTAAAATAATAGCATGAGTAAAATATAATCAGCTATCCAAAATTAAATTTTCATATCTAATGAGGAGCTAAAAAAAAAATTACCAATTGAGCTACGAGTTACCACTAAAACTAAGATGCTGAGGAGGACTCATCATATTTTACGCAGAGTCTTTTAGCAAACTTTAATAAAACAGTAGAGATGACTGTACAAGTATGAGTGCATTAATATTTTTCTTTACACAGAATGTTTTTAATCACAAACTCGAGCACTGATTTATCAAGCTAAGTAAGAAACTTTATCATTAGACATCATATAAAAATCATTTCAAGCTATTAAAGTTGGGAGTCACAACACTTTATGTCCATTTTATTGAAGCAATGTTTTACCATCTTGGCTGAAAATATGTCGTAATATGTGCTACCTAATGTCCTAGTACAGGCTAAAAATATGATATAAACAAAAACACAGGCGCACTTTGCTCTGCTTTAAGCTTCAGTTCAGCTACAGCTGCTTTTCTCACATCTCCAGCAGGAAACTTTTCCACAGAAATAGAACAGTTTCTTGTAAAATGTCTCTCAACGTTCGACTTTTTACGAGGCTGAAGTCGCTTCTCATTCACAGCTTCTGGTTCGAATTTTCCCGTTCCACCTAAATGTAACTGTTGCACCATTTAAGGTGGAACGGGAAAATTCGAACAAAAAACTGACTTCAGCCTTGAGGCTTTTTAGTGTTTGTCAGTTTCTCGTTGCAGATTAAACGTATCAGGAAACCAGCTGGAGTTAATATAAACAGAAATAAGTCCATTCATCTCTAAATGATCTTTGTTCGTCTTAAATCTCTCTCTTTGCCGTTTCGTTAGCTATAAGCTAGGCGTCTGCGTTGCTATGGAGACCAGCAGTCTGCGCTGATCCTCAGGGTTAAAGGGTGAATTAGCAGTTCTACATTAACTCCAGAGTTTAAGACCATTTATTGTTAAACTGTGTTGAACGATCAGCAGAGCTTTATTTTACTGTAAAGGAGGATTATTTTATTTTTACCTACTAATCTGATTCAGCTGTGGAGCCACAACAGGGCAGTAAAAGAGCTGCGTGTTGCCGACCCCTGCCTTAGAGTCAGGGTAAGCCAGCATGTTAATAGCTTTGACCCTGAGCTGGGTGCCTGATTAATCCAGAATGTTTTCAACTCCAGGAATAAAATTTTCTTAGTATAATATTTCATACAGATTTACTGCCGCTGTCGTTCTCACTGCAGGTTTGTTGTGAGAAGTTCTGTTGGAGTTTTTTCTTTGCTTCACAGAGGAATTAACACTTGGAGACTGTCAACACTGGCTGAGAGGCCATGATTTTGCAAGCGGTCAGTTGCGTCAGAGGTGTCCTGCACTCAGATAAGAAGCACATTAGGCTGATGTTAGATCATTACTGAAAGGATATTGAAGGAATCTCTCAAAGAAATCAATACTACTGCTGTAGTAGTGAACACTCACACATTCTCGCTCTGTGACGACGTCGCTACTCCGGTGTCCTAATTTACAACCTGGCTACACACGGCGGGTCGTCATAGCAACCCTCTGCAGCGGCCTCGTGAACAGCACACAAATGACAGTTTCATCACTGTTGTGGGGAGAGAGAGAGAGAGAGAGAGAGAGAGAGAGAGAGAGAGAGAGAGAAGCATAAAGGCACGTAAACATTGGAGCTTTCATAATGTTACAGTCTGTATATGAAAACTAAGCTGCAGAAACAGGCTGTTTTGAATTTACCATGGTTGTGATGTCACAACCATGAGCGCTTTTAGATTTGACCACTGTTTTCGGTACTTGGGGAGGGGGGGTGTAATCTTTAACCCAGGTTTTTTTTTTTTTTAACAATAAAAATATATACGCAATTTTTAACAATAACAAATATACAGATAAATTACTTCTTGAAATCACAGGTCTAGTTTAGTCATGCAGTGCTGGTGGATCTACCAAAAAAGAGCAATATTTTTCCCATTTTATGTCTTTCCTGAATATTTGACTACAAACATGGATCTTATTTTATACACACACACTTTCATTACATCATCACATCCATTAAAATACTGACTTTTTTTGTTGAGAATTTAAAACACTGAGTGTGTTTACATGCACTCAGTAATCCGATCATAATCAGATTCCTGCAGTTATCTGATTATTCAAATGGTCATGTAAACAGCACATGTAAACAGATTTCTTAGATCGGAGTAAGGTCTAGAAATCGGATTAAGAAACCTGATAAATAGAGCTGGACTTTAGCTCAGTAATCAGATTTCTCAGTGGATGTGAACTCTTACTCTGATTTCTTTCGGATTTCTCAGTTTGCACATGTGCGAAAACAGACGACGGTACCGGAAATAATCGAGCAGCGAGATGCAGCAAAGCGTTTTTGAAGCGGCACTGAAACCAAATACATGCTTGGCGAAATGAAGGAGTTAATTATTTTTCATCTTCTAGATGATGTAAGTTCATGTTTTCAGGTAAAGTGGTGCGAAATTCAAGTTTTAATCTACGTTTAAGTCACGTTTTCTGTGAGTTTATTGGCTGCTTGCAAAGCAGAAATCCGATTACTGTCAGACTCAGGTAGACCCATTATCTGATTATCCCCATTATCTGATTACTCAAGTGCATGTAAACACATTGATCTGATTTCTGACAAAATCAGATTTTCTGCAGTTATTGGATTATTAAGTGCATGTAAACGCACTTAATGTTAAAATATATGTTTAACCTTTCAGCAGGCCCCCTAGTGGCTATTTCACCAGCAGAATGGAAATTGACTCGAATATTTGAAATTAATATAGTCAAATAAAATATTTTCCCCTGTAACACATCAGATTTACTAGGACACTGACTGCGTTGAGCTGCTAGTGAGCAATGAGGGGTGAAAGCACTTCACCCGTCTCCACCAAGATGGCCTGCTGAGATCAAACGGACACAACTGCAGCTCTTGGTATCGAACAAACCTGTACAGCCGGGACAGTTAATACAGTTAAAACACTCAATTCAACTGAGGGACGTCCTCCGAAACGGGCAGAACTTACGTTTTAAGGCACCTGTGAAAAAGTCTGTATGTTTATGTTCTCATTTCTCAGAGGTAAACAAAGGTCCAGTCCCATTTCTCATTTTTACCCGTACCCCTTGTTTTCGAGTGTCTCCTTGACCCTTGAAACTGAGTTACAGGGTAGTGGTTAATCTTCCCTCTGAAATGGGACCCTCAGATAAAAAGAGCATCACTTCATTAACAGCTACCAGTGCTGCTCTGTAGGCGACCCTGCCAGTCTGCAGTGACAGCAGAGGAGGGTAAAGTTCAGCTCCTCACTGCTGGGCTTTAGTTACATTTAGGGCATCATATGATCTTCAAAGAGGGGGGCAATTATTTATTATCACCCACCCTAATTCTTCAGTGATACGAAGCTGAAGTCAGATATTCACCAGATTCTTATTAAAATTTTCCCGTTCCACCTTAAATGGAGCAGCAGTTACATTCTGGCACTTCAGGCATCAGAACTGCTGGACTATTTAAGGTGGAACGGGTAGTTTAGCTAGCTAGCTAACGAGACATTAGCATGCTATTAGTGATTTTTTTAACCTTGTTATGAAGAAAAGGGCCATAATACACTGAAACGACATTAAACTAAGATAATATAATGGTTTAATTTTTAACAGAGAAAATTCTCACATTTGTGGGTTCCTTTGGTCTCCTGTTCGGCCGTCTTGCCGGCTTTTCTTTTTTTCCTCAAAAAATCGGGGCACCCCACCACTAGGCGTGAATGCGCAGAACAGGGGGTTAGGGCTAAGTGGTAGGGGCGAGGGGTGAAATGGGATTGGACCTCAATGTCCAATTTGTTTCTCTCTTGTTTATCAGGAACTTAAAAAGGATGGTTCTTCAAGGGTTCTTTAGTAAAGAAAATGGCTCTATATAGAATCATGAGTGCCCAAAGAACCCTTAGCACGATTGAAGTGTTCTTTACATCATGAAAAGGTTCTTCAGACTGATGGAGAAGGTTGTATCTGGTTCTATATAGAACCTTTTTGAAAAGCATTCTACTGTGACAGCTTGACATCATGACAATAGCAGAACACTTTATGGTGCTATATAGGACCGTTTTCATCTATGATCAATCTGAAGAACCTTTACTCATGCAAAGGGTTCTTTGAGTGTTCATGGTACTATATGAACCCTTGAAGAACCATCTTTTTTAAGTGTGATAACTTTTCAAACAAGTTGAAGAAATAAAGGCTCAAAATCGTCACAAATTTCTTTAGTTAATTTAGAAAAACAGGCCGTGAGATCCTGGTGGGACTGACCAGCTCTGAAGGCCCTGAGTGGGCCGGAGCCGGTCAGAGGGGCAGAAGAGGAGCGGGAGCAGCTGGACTGCTGTGGTGAAGTCTAATGAAACACACAGCAGGTGTTCGCTCTGCGTCTGACTCTCACAGCTCTGACGTCCACTAACACGGCTCTGCAGTGACCAGAGAGCCGGACACAGTCAACAGACATCAGAACTCTCTCTCTCTCTCTCTCTCTCTCATTTCTATCTCTCTCTCTCTCTCCCTCCAAACTCCCTCCCTCTCTCTCTCTCATTTCTATCTCTCTCTCTCTCATTTCTATCTCTGTCTCTCTCTGTCTGTCTCTCTCTTTCTCACCAAACTCTCTCTCTCTCTCTTTCTCTCTATCTCTCTCACATTTCTATTTCTCTCTCTCTTTATTTCTATCTCTCTCTTTTTCTCTCTCTGCTTCTTTCTCTCTCTTACTTCCACTCTCAATCTGTCTCTCTCTTACTCTCTCTCGCCCCCTTTCTTCCTTTTTCCTACCTCTCTCTGCTGTTTATGCTCTTTTCTCTTTCTCGCTCAGCCCTTTATATTTTCTATCTGTTTTAGTTCTCCTCTCTCTCCTCTCTCTGCAGCTTGTACTCTCTCCCTTTCTTCATCTTTCTACCTCTTTTCTCTCTGCCTTTTACTCCCTCTTTTTTCTATCTCTCTTTTACTGAATCTTTCATTGTTTCTCTCTCTTCTCCTCTCTCTCTTTCTGTTTCTCTCTCTTCTCTCTTTTTCTCTTGTATTTTTTCTCTCATCTGTATTCTCTCCCTCTCTCTCTATCTCTGGATTTTACTCTCTCTTTCCTAATCTTTCTACCTCTTTTCTCTCTGTTTTTTCTCCCTCTCTTTTTTCTATCTCTTTTTTACTGTCTGTCCCTGTCCTTCATTATCTCTCTCTCCCTTTCTGCCTTTCTTTCCTCTCTCACATCTCTCTGTCTGCCTTTTACTCTGTCTGTCTCTTTTTTCTGTCTCTTCTCCTCTCTCTCTCACTCTCCTCTCTCTCTCTCCCTCTCCCTCTCTCTCTCTCCCTCTCTCTCTGACGTCGTCAGTGTTTGCTGGAACTCGACTACAGCTAAACCAGGTTCACTCACTCGTCTCTGAACGTTCTATATTTGGCACAGTGTGAAAAGCTTGTGCTCTGAATGCTGTTTGAATGGAGATGATTCTCCTCTATTCTGTCGTCTCCACACATCAAATACAACAACAGAGGGCAGCCAGAGAGAACTGACCAAATACAGACTACAGACCAAAAGACGCGTAATAATGCACACAGAACTGAAGGCCCGACACAAAGACTTTCCCATGTACCTTAATGAAAAAATCAAAGGTTGTTTTTAAAATTTTACTGCATACGTTATAAAATACGTAGATTCTTCTGAGTGAAATTATGTGATTACTAGAAATATAGAAACAGCCTTTCAGTTCATAGAAAAATGAATAAAAAATCAGAGGGGTACTGCGCCTTTTGTTGACATATGGCAACAGCATGCAACAACTTACAATGGGATTGGACCAATAGACCACCATAGATGAAAACAGTGGTCTCCAGTGTGTCTTATGACTAGTCATTTACTCTCACTGTATGCACTGTACAGTACATGAGTGCAGATTCTCACATGCTGTTGCCATATGGCAACAAATACATTTTATCATTCTGTATTAAGCCCACAGCATCTAAACTGGTTTTATGTATGAAAATCTAATTTTAACCCCCCACAGATGAGTTTAAAAATGTGTTCATTTCTTTTTTTTTCTTTCAAGTTGTGCGTGAATATTAAGCTACACACATATATTTTAAGAGCAGTTCAGAGGCTTCCCCATGTGATGTGGGGTAAAAAAGGTGTGAAAAAAGTTCAGAACGCAGCAGGAAGACGTGATCAGATAAAAGTGTACCATGTTACTCAGAAAACCTTCAGTTTCCAAACGGAAAATATTTACATTAAAGTCAGGCCAGAAAAAAAGTCAGCATTTCAAGAAGTCGTTGTTGCCATACGGCAACACAAAGTGCATTTTTATGCCTGATTGCAGTGCAGCGTGTCGACGTCTGATTACAGTGCTGTTTCAGTAAACTGGAAGCAGCGGTTCTCTTCTACAGTCTTCACTCCGTTTCAGTCTTCAGGGGAGGAAGTGTGATTGGTGGCCAGATGTAATCGAAACCCTCCGCTGTTTCCTCTCTCATGATGGCTGCAGCAGTGATAATAACTGTCACCACAGCTTTTCAAACAGGTCTTTATAAATATCAGGAGTGGACGAGACTGATGGGGTGTGACGGAAGGCCTGGAGCGAGAGCTGTGTGGGTTAATGGGACGTTTAAAGGGTCCATATCATGGAAATTTCCATCCCTTTTTAAATAAAAATATGTGAACACTGTTAAACTGTACCAGTCACTCCAGGCCATGCAGTCTATGTATGAATTCTGAAGTTTTGAATTGATCACGGGTGTGATGTCACAACCATGAACACATTTACATTAGACCACCCACTCACACTGAAGTGGTGCAGAGAGTATTTACTGTAACTAAACTGTAAAAAAAAGGCTGTTTTGAATGTTTCCTGGTTGTGATGTCACAATCATTAACACGTTTACGTTTGACCACCCATTTGCACTGAAGTGATGAGGCGTGTAGTTACTGTAACTAAGCTGTAAGACAGCCTGATTTGAAGTTATCGATGTTGTGATGTCACAACCATGAACACATTTTCATTTAGCCACCGTTTCTTGCTGAAGTGATACAAAGTGTAGTTACTGTAACTAAGCCATTAAACAGCCTCATTTGAAAACATCATGGTTGTGATGTCACAGCCATGAACACATGACATTTACGGCCTATTCATTTAAATTGATGCGGTGTGTGATGCAGCATGTAGTTACTGTAATTAAGCTGTAAAACAGCCTGTTTTGAATTGATCATGGTTGTGATGTCACAATCATGAACATGTTTACTGTTGTCTGCTCATTCACACTGAAGTGATGTGGGGTGTTGTTACTGCGGACAGTCTGTAGTGGAGTTATCAGCGTGGAAGACGTGGGAAAACAGTTAAACATCATGAAGTTCCTGACTGTCGGGATGCAGATGGATCACTGCAGCCTTCTAAAGGATCCACATCCAAAGGAGCGACTGCTTTTAGAGCCAATCAGACCAGAGTTCATTTACATATCAGTCTTAAAGGCACAGTAACAAAAATGGCAGGTTAGATTCTAAAGTATAAAGAAAATTTGGGAAATGGTCAAGTAAAAAATGAATAGATTATAATGTGTCATAAACCTCATAACCAAACAAGTGTGAGGCAAGTGTGTGATGATTTAGTCATGCAGCTCGCACAGTTCCATGCTGATTTTTGGGGTACAAGTTTTTTAGGGTACACATTTGGACTTTTAACTGATTTGGACTTCAGATGGAAATTGTTTTGCCTTGAATGACCCTGTACTTTAATTATGTTTATTCTATTAAAACAAATCAGTGATCATTTTATTCTGGCACTACCAAAACAATCATAACACTACCACAACTTTACCAGATGTTTCAGTAGTGAGTGTTTCGGTGATGACAATTTTAGCTCATTTTAGGCAGAACTCAAAAATGTCCGCCAGTACATGACCAGCAAACACAGCTTTGAACAGTTATACACATAAGATCTGAATATTTTTCACTAAAACACAAAAAAATTACTGAATTGCAGAAAATGTGTGTTTCGGTAGTGACAGTTCTTAATGTTCCACACTGATTTCAGACATTGACTTCAAAACAGTGGCATCTAACTGCTCACCATGTGGCCATGAGGGACAGGGATGCAGCCTCTCTTCCTGATCTAAAATACAAGGGCGTGGCTAAAATAAAATTCCGCCCACAGACTTCACCTATTTTGCAAAAATATGACTCATTACAAAAATAGTCATGATAAACGTAAATCTTCGAACTTCACTTAAAAATAAATAAAAACATCTTTAAAAAAGTATTATCACATTTATTTAGCTTATAATGTATATATTTAGCTTATATATATATATATATATATATATGTATATAGATAGATAGATAGATATACCTTATTACTATCTTAATGCCTTGGGTTTAAATAGATCACAACACACCAACAACACCAAGTCTGAATTTTTAATTTTTATTTATTTCTTTGATCTTTACTGTGGGACCACAGTTGGCGCTGTAGAGTGGTACATTTATATTGTACTGTGCAAAAGTTTTAGTCACCATTGAAAATTGTTTAAAAGCATCTATCTGGGGTTAAGGTGTTTTTGCCAATAAAAACTCTTACAGAACATTAAAATAAATAACAGTCAAACTCTTTTGTTTTTTTAAAAAGTGTCATATATTTCTTGTTTAGACAAACACAGTTAGAAGAAAACAGGTCTGGTTCCTATTTTTAAATATTTTATTTAATATTTCAAGTATTCTGTAAACCAGTAGTGCATAAAATGCTTAATATAGTAATTACAGCAATTTGTTTTTTGTCAAGTTCTCTTCTGTGATATTTCATCTCCACTTTTAAAATACGATGAATTCTGAATATTAATTTTACTACATAACCAGATATGCCAGATATATATGTATGTATATATGTATATATAGTGGAGACCCCTCAGGGTCTTCTGGCCTTCAAAGAAGGCCTAATGCCTTCTGGGAATTAAAAATGCATGTAAGTCAATTTTTATTTAATACAATCATGCTTTTGTTTATATTCTGCAAATATTACAGCACTGCTCTTAGTTCATTTGCAAGTTTTGGATGGAAACAAAACAGTTAAATTCTTGAAAAGCCCCATGGAAAATTGGCCAATCAGGAATTGCTTTTCTCTGTGGTAGATTTATCTAAGCGAGCTCTCCTGTTGGTTAGGACTTCAGGAGCTGAAGAGAAGGTCTAATGCATTAGATTAACTATCAGCATAATTACAAAGTGACAGAGGAATCAGCCAATCATGTTTTGATTTCTAATGGGTGGGACCAATTTTGTTAGATAAAACATAACTCTAGGCCTTCTGGAAGTTCTAGATACATCATTGGCTGTATGTACAAATAGCAGCCTAATCAGTGGGATGTTAGAAATGCAAAACAGCAGCAGCAACTCTATATGGGTCATTCTCCGTTTGGAGGGGAAACCATGTCACAAAGGCTGCAGGGCTTAAAAAGATGCTTAAAATATGAGGCACAGCTCCAAAAGTCGGTCTGTACATTTACACAGTGACCTAAGATTAAATATTACTTTTCTCTTATGATTCTCTGGTTTTTCTTTTTTTATCCTGTTTCATAGTCGCTCTGCATCTGTAAAACAGCTCACCACAAAACCAATTTTCAACATTTGAGAAACCATTTTTAATATAAAACAATTTATATTTTACTTTTAAAAACAAAATTTTATTTAAAAAATGTATTTGTCAGAGATTTTGGTCACTCAGGACTCTTATTTTACATTTGAACAGTATTTTCAGCTCTGTTAAACTGCTTGTTTGGGTCGAGGCTCATCAGAGAGGAAGCATCTGAAGGCATGAGAAGGCGAGTCACTCTCGCTCACTATATTTCATTAATTTATTAATAATTTTGTTTATCACACAGCACATAATTTCTATGTGTCACAGGTGTTATGTGCTTTAATGGCTGGGTAATTAAAATTTTGGCAAAATAATGCCAAATATTGATTTTTATATAAATTGAAATTGATTTTTTAAAAATGTGTCCACCTGACTTCCCAATCTAAATGGAGAATGACCCACACCAAAGCTCACTGTGAAACTGCTACAGGTAAAATATGTGTGTAGCATGTCTGTCACAAACTTCAAGTAAAACACTGAGTGTCTTTCAGAAGCTCCAAATGTCTGTGCTTAATCTGGAACTGCATCTTTGGAATTTTCCATGCCTAATTTGCCTAAATGCACCAAAATGTGACTGCAGCACCGTTTAAGGTGGAACAGAATATTCAAATAAGACCCTTCAGTCTTCATGTGAATCGCAATTAGCTTAGCGCTAACAAACTACTATACTGCTGTAGGGACGCTAACAGAAGTTAGCATTTTCATTGTGGGGAGTTTTTCCTCATGTTTTGACCGAGGTTTGACATTTATGGCCTAAATTGAAGGCCTAACTCTGATAGTCACGGATCACCACTGTGTGTTTGTGTGTGTGGGAGTAATCGTCCCGTGAGAGGGTCTCGCTGAATGATCACGATCTCCACCAGACCATGAAGGACAGCGTCCATGTGATCGATCCCCCGCACTCACACAGAGCACATCACCAGGCTTGTAATGGTGCACATGTGACCCGAGGAGCTTAAATATAATCTTTCTCGTCTGTTTATTCCTGCGTCACCACCATGACATCACCACCATTAATAAAGTGGCAATCAGGTTTGGTGTCTGAATAATATACGGACTTTGTGACGTTTTTCCACTGGGGAACCAGGGTCTCCTAGGGTCTTCTAAGCCTTCAGAAAATGATTTCTGAAAAATAAAAAATTACATGTTTCTCTTTAATTCCTTTGTATTTACTATATTCATGTATGTTGTCTCTGAATTATATGCTGTTGTAGTAATGCTCTTATGTAAAACTTACATTTTGTTTGGAAACAAAGGGTTAAATTCTTGAACTGCACAACAAAAACTGATCCAATGAGGTTTTTCCCTCCTGTGGTATATAGACAGATACAGCCAAGTGAGCTCTCCCATTGGTTAGAACTTCAGGAGCTGAAATGAAGGCCTAACACATTAGATCAAACAAAATAAGTCCATTCGTCTCCAAATTATCGATGTTCATCTTAAATCTCTCTCTTTGCCATTTCGTTAGCCACTAGCTAGGCGAGACTGTTGTCTGTGTTGCTATGGTGACCAGCAGTCTGCGCTGATCTTCAGGGTTAAAGGGTTACTAATCTGATTCTGCTGTGGAGCCGCAACAGGACAGTAAAGGAGCTGCATGTTGTTGACCCCTGATCTAGGCCTTCTGAGAATTCTGAGAGTCACTTACTGAACAAGAGTGGTGGACTATCCAGGTTTCAGACAGTTGTTAGGAATGGGAAACAGCAGCAGCTAATAGAGATTCACAGGGATATTTGAATATTGTGAAAGATGTTCCAGGTACTATTTGAAGCTTGTAATAATATCTGGAATGTCTTTCACAATCTTCAAATGTCCACATTTGATCTAGAACGGCCAAAAAATATCCATGTGAATCACTATTAGCTTAGCGCTAGGAAAGTCCCATAAGGGTGCAGCAGGAATTAGCATTACTGTGGAGGTGTTTTTGTCCTCCTTTTGACTGAGTTTTGACATTTATGACCCAAACTGAAAGGCTAGCTGTAACAGTCACAGTTCACAACGGACTTTTTCACTCCAAAAACCGTGAAAACAAAAGCGTCACAGAAACATTCAGCTTTGCTAGAGCAGTCAAGACGATGTCTTCCAGGTGATCAGTTGGCTTCTGTTCACATGGGCCCTCTTGGTTATTTTGTGGAATTGTACTGGTTAGGTCTCGTGGTGGATGGTCTTACTGGGAATTTGACTCGCGTTGGCACTGTTACAACAGAAGAACCCTTTTTGGCGCTATACAGAACCATTTTCAAATAGGTGATATATAAAGGAACATACACATTTCACCATGCAAAGAACCATTTATGCATGAAATGGTTATGTTTAGAACCAATGCTTTTACGAAAGAACCCTTGAGGAAGTCTTTTTTAAGTGTGATCATTAATTTCAGTTTTTTTCTGCCATGCTGTTAGCGGATTAGCCATTCATTAACCCTCATACTCGGATCAGTTGACTCCAGAATTTCTGGAAATTAACAGCTCGGCTGCCACACAACCATGTGAAGGTTGAGTAACATTCACAAAGAGCTGTTTCACAAAGTCACATGGCCTACAATGCGTCTGACTGACGTTTCAATGCTAAGTTCATTTATAGATCATTCTATTCGTCCAAAAATGGTGCACACTAATAAGGGCCTTCACAACATTCCTCTTCAGCATAAAAAAAGGAAAAAACTGGAAACATTTACTCTCCCAAGGATGATGTGTCTCACACACACACACACATTTGGTCCGGCTAATGAAGGCTTTGCTAATTAGCTGATAAGATGTGTTGGAGAAGTGAAAACGCTAAAATGTGCGTAGCTGCGGATCTGAAATCAACACCACTCTCTTATATAAACCATGCAGAGAGTTATGAACTGGCATATCAATTCACTTTCACTTTTATCTGCAACCACATCCCTTTAGCAAACAGCACACTGAGTAAACTGCTTCTACACTTATCACCGAGCTGCAGGAGAGAAAGATACGGCTTAAATAAACAGGCCTGAAGGCCTGAAAGTGATGAAAGGTAGCATTTCTACCTTTTAAGTTTCATAAGCTTTGCATACACACACACATTACTGCGTATTACTGTCTTTGTGGGGGCTTTCCAGGATTCTGCTTGACTGTAAACGGACATAACCTTAGAGCGAGTTTGGCAATAAATCTAATTTACAGAGTAATTAAGTTTCCATTCATTGTTAGCATGACTTACATTAGCTCTGATTGATCCGCTACCAATCCCCACAGAGGGATTACAGTAAAACGCTGATACTAATCTTATCACTCGGGAACATGTCCACTACTGAGATTAATAACTGATCATCGCATTGATTTATCAGTCTACTCAGGCTTTAGCAGAGCTCAGTAACACTGAGATTAATAACTGATCACATTGATTTATCAGTCTACTCAGGCTTTAGCAGAGCTCAGTAACGCTGAGATTAATAACTGATCATCACATTGATTTATCAGTCTACTCAGGCTTTAGCAGAGCTCAGTAACACAGATTAATAACTGATCACATTGATTTATCAGTCTACTCAGGCTTTAGCAGAGCTCAGTAACACTGAGATTAATAACTGATCACATTGATTTATCAGTCTACTCAGGCTTTAGCAGAGCTCAGTAACACAGATTAATAACTGATCACATTGATTTATCAGTCTACTCAGGCTTTAGCAGAGCTCAGTAACACAGATTAATAACTGATCACATTGATTTATCAGTCTACTCAGGCTTTAGCAGAGCTCAGTAACGCTGAGATTAATAACTGATCATCACATTGATTTATCAGTCTACTCAGGCTTTAGTAGAGCTCAGTAACACTGAGATTAATAACTGATCACATTGATTTATCAGTCTACTCAGGCTTTAGCAGAGCTCAGTAACACTGAGATTAATAACTGATCACATTGATTTATCAGTCTACTCAGGCTTTAGCAGAGCTCAGTAACACTGAGATTAATAACTGATCACATTGATTTATCAGTCTACTCAGGCTTTAGCAGAGCTCAGTAACACTGAGATTAATAACTGATCACATTGATTTATCAGTCTACTCAGGCTTTAGCAGAGCTCAGTAACACAGATTAATAACTGATCACATTGATTTATCAGTCTACTCAGGCTTTAGCAGAGCTCAGTAACGCTGAGATTAATAACTGATCATCACATTGATTTATCAGTCTACTCAGGCTTTAGTAGAGCTCAGTAACACTGAGATTAATAACTGATCACATTGATTTATCAGTCTACTCAGGCTTTAGCAGAGCTCAGTAACACTGAGATTAATAACTGATCATCGCATTGATTATCAGTCTACTCAGGCTTTAGCAGAGCTCAGTAACACTGAGATTAATAACTGATCACATTGATTTATCAGTCTACTCAGGCTTTAGCAGAGCTCAGTAACACTGAGATTAATAACCGATCACATTGATTTATCAGTCTACTCAGGCTTTAGCAGAGCTCAGTAACACTGAGATTAATAACTGATCATCACATTGATTTATCAGTCTACTCAGGCTTTAGCAGAGCTCAGTAACACTGAGATTAATAACCGATCACATTGATTTATCAGTCTACTCAGGCTTTAGCAGAGCTCAGTAACACTGAGATTAATAACTGATCATCACATTGATTTATCAGTCTACTCAGGCTTTAGCAGAGCTCAGTAACGCTGAGATTAATAACTGATCACATTGATTTATCAGTCTACTCAGGCTTTAGCAGAGCTCAGTAACGCTGAGATTAATAACTGATCATCACATTGATTTATCAGTCTACTCAGGCTTTAGCAGAGCTCAGTAACGCTGAGATTAATAACCGATCACATTGATTTATCAGTCTACTCAGGCTTTAGCAGAGCTCAGTAACACTGAGATTAATAACCGATCACATTGATTTATCAGTCTACTCAGGCTTTAGCAGAGCTCAGTAACGCTGAGATTAATAACTGATCACATTGATTTATCAGTCTACTCAGGCTTTAGCAGAGCTCAGTAACACTGAGATTAATAACTGATCACATTGATTTATCAGTCTACTCAGGCTTTAGCAGAGCTCACTAACACTGAGATTAATAACCGATCACCACACTGATTTAGAACATTTTTGAAAATGGTTCTATGTAGCACCCAAAAGGGTTCTTCTATTGTTACAAGCTTGGCATTAGCAGAGTCTCTCTTTTTTGCACCTTTTTACATCCTTATTAAGGAATTTATCCAAGACATCATATGTTTGGTGGGGTAGTTTTCATTTTCTGAGTTAAGCAAGCTTGACAAGGCCGACATTGAAAGCAGACTACTGATGCTGCGTCTGCGCTGGATGGGCGAGCGGTACGGAGGATAAAAGGCTGTGTGTGAGCAGGAGAGAGAATGTGACACTATCTATAAATAAAAAGAAAAATAGTGGCGTCACCTTACTTACCAAATGTTTAGTAGGTCATCCACAGGACTGTGTGGACCGGCCACAGGGTTTCTATGTTTCGACACTTTTCCAAGGTGTGAAATACAAGGGATCCTGGGGGGTCTGGGACCCCTTGAATGTCTCAAGATCAAACGTCTACGGGGTCCCTGAAAATAAACTTTTTTATGACATTATGTTGTTTGTTAAGGTAAAAAAGATGCTCAAATGCAAACTCAGAGAATGCTTCAGTGACAGTCAGTGAGCTTCTGTCTTTGCTATTCTTACTAGAGATGCAGCACTGGTCTGCCTCAGGGCGGCGCTGTAGCCAATTGGTCAACTCTTTTGGTCCTTCATAGCCTGGCAAATGTAACTTAGCCTGGAATACCTTTGGAAACTTGTAAATCTTGCCCAATTCTTCAAGAGAGAAGTGGAAAGAGTGAATCCTTACTCATTTCTCAAAACCAAGACACTAGAGGAAAAGGATCTGTGTAGGATCTGAATTAATGTGTGGAAAAGTGCTTTACCAAACTAGAAAGGAGCGTTTCCAAGGAAGCCTTGTTAAACTACACATTTCACTGCCGTTGAAGCTAGCATCAGCACCACTATGGCGAGTGAGTTAGCAGCCAGCTAACAGTGGAGTAGCCAGCCAACATGGGACCCCCTGAATACTGGGGTACTTTGCACACTGTGCTTTTCCACAGTACACGTTAGCATTAGGACAAAGCTGTCGGCTTCCTATTCGCCAGCTTATGTTTGGAATATTCCATCCCACCATAAACTGCAGTTAGCTTACAGAGGATCCTGGTCCTTTCCAACACTGGACACTGCACAAAACAAAATGTAATCAGAGTAAAATGTAAAAATATAAAGTTAAATCACAGAATATGAGCAACAGACAATGAGGTATAACCAGCACCATTAACTTTACTCCCATCCTGCACCACACTGACTATTCTAGTGAACGTTAGCAGCTAACTTTGGCTAACCTTGTTGAGAAACTTGCTTTTGTGGTGAAGCAGGTGATGCTTGAAAAAGTATGTAGACCTTGTCACCCTCTGATGTCTGAAAGTGAAAACTACACCAAATAAACATGGAAAAAGTATTAAATTCCTTAATAAAGATGTAAATTCTCATTTGTAAACACCGCCACTACTGTAACGTTCTCCCTGCTGTGACGACTTGAATATGAAAGTGTGAAAGGGGCTGTGGTTGCTTGACAGATTTTCTGCAATGCATGCTGGGCATTGTAGGAAGTATGAAAATGCGAAAAGGATACAAAATCATGAATTCTGTCAAACCGATGAGGCTGAGGGATGCATTGCTGTACAATGTTGCATATCATGACATTTAACCTACTTAAATGCTACTATAGCCCGATATACACCTTTAAGTAATGTTTTCCTCACTTTCATACATTCTCAGATCTGAAAACGAGAGATCTTTAATACTTTTCTACACTTCCCAGGCCTCTGCATGGCCACATGCACACACAGGAGCCTGGATCATGAGTCCTTCAGCGTACTCAACCCAAAGCAAATTATTAAAACAACCCCCACACGACTGGACGAGGGCGGAAGAAAAGCGGAGGCCGCCGGGCATGCTCAGTTTAAAGTGTCTGACTCGCCCCCGTCCGGTGACTCACCGCTCCTCCATCGCTCACCCCGGCCTCCCCATCACCCCTTTTTCTGCCTGCCAGTAAAGCACTCCTTACAGCAGGCTCTTTGCTGATGAATCATCATGGCATAATAAAAGGAGTCGTGCAGTTCAGGGCAGTGAGTGGCCTAACAAGGCCGAAGCCTCTGGGAAGCTTTCAGAGGCCCACTTGAATGCCACGGCCCACCCAAATGCGCTGACCGACCCATTAAAAACTAGCTTAAAAACAGGCTTAATGCTAGAAAGTCTTCAGAAATATGACTAATGATAGGGAATGATGGTGGTGCACCATGCGTTCGTGACTTTGTGTTGTATGAAACATTGTCGCCCCCTAGTGGTTGATCAGCAGAGATGCATTTCTGGAAAAATAGTGGAAAGGCACATGGAGGGTGTTAGGCAAAACTGTCCAAAGAAAACTTTTTTCCAGATTTATTACTATTTTCCCATCAATAACATTACATATACAATCTCAGAAGACGTGTAGTGTCAGTAGTTTTTATGTATAGTTACTAAAATGGCTATATTGGTATTGCAGACATTGTGACCCCTGGTTCCTATGGCCTCCACTGTAAATACAGATCAGGTAAGTTTCTCTACAATGAACTATTTCACATTAAACCACTCCGAATTACTGTTTACACCTCACACAGAAATAAAAAAAACTGTGAAATTCCACTTTAAATTGTCTAAAAAGAGGAATGGAGTACAGAGCCCCCAAGGTGACAGGGCGATTTTAATAAGATGTGGCCACAAGTTAATATGTTGAGGTTGCATTTAACTTTATTTAGCCCATGAGTTAATATATTGAGGCCACAAGTTAATATAAAGAGGCCACAAAATTAATTAAGCCCACGAGTTAAGCCGTTACTATATGGAGGCCATGGATTACTATACTGAGCCCACAAGTTAATACACCGAGGCCACAAATTTCTATATTCAGGCCACAGATTGATATATTGAGCCCACTAATTTCTATATTGAGGCCACAAATTAATATATTAAGCCCACGAGTTAATATATTGAGGCCACAAAATTAATTAAGGCAACAAGTTACTATATGGAGGCCATGGATTACTATACTGAGCCCACAAGTTAATACACTGAGGCTACAAATTAATGTATTCAGGCCACAAATTAATATATTGAGCCCATGAATTTCAAAATTGAGGCCACAAATTAATGTATTGAGCCCACGAGTTAATATATTGAGGCCACAAAATTAATTAAGGCAACAAGTTACTATATGGAGGCCATGGATTACTATATTGAGCCCACAAGTTACTATATTCAGGCCACAAATTAATATATTAAGGCCACTAATTTCTATATTTAGGCCACAAATTAATATACTGAGCTCACGAGTAGATGTATTGAGGCCACAAATTAATTAAGGCCATGAGTTACTATATGGAGGGCATGAATTACTATAATGAGCCCACAAGTTACTATATTGAGCCCACAGTTTAATATACTGAGGAAACAAATTAATATACTACTTAGCCACGCCGTATTAACGCATGGGGACAAGATAATTAAGTCGTGACCATGGCTTAATAAGGCGTGGGAATGATTTTATGCCTTATTAAGATGTGTTCAAGGATTAATTATCTCATTCCCACGCCTTACCAACGCATTATTTGTATTTGTACGGGATGCCTCCAGCAGGGCTCCGTGATGTGTTGAGGCCAAGAGTTATGAAGAAACTTAACTTGTGGCCTTAACATATTAACTCGTGGTCTCAATATATTAATTCGAGGCCATGCCTTGTTAAAAAATAACCACCATGTCACCTTAGTGGAGAGAATAAACAAACGAAATGGTCTTTTTAAACAGCTGTTTATCAATAGGATAGAAATTAATAAACTAATAATAACGTTAACTGTGCTCCGCCGAAACCACTGGCTGGGCATCAACAGAGAGAGAGAGAGAGAGAGAGAGAGAGCGAGAGAGAGATAGAGCGAGAGAGAGAAAGAAAGAGCGAGAGAGAGAAAGAGATAGAGAGAGATAGAGATAGAGAGAGAGAGAGAGAGAGAGAGAGAGATAGAGCGAGAGAGAGAAAGAAAGAGCGAGAGAGAGAAAGAGAGAGAGAGAGATAGAGATAGAGAGAGAGAGAGAGAGAGAGAGAGAGAAAGAGAGAGCGAGCGAGAGAGAGATAGAGAGAGAGAGAGAGAGAGAGAGAGAGAGAGAGAGAAAGAGAGAGACAGAGAGAGAGAGAGAGAGAGATAGAGCGAGCGAGAGAGAGAGATAGAGAGAGAGAGAGAGAAAGAGAGCGAGAGAGAGAGAGAGAGATAGAGAGAGAGAGAGAGAGAAAGAAGGGAAAAAGTGGTGTAAAGTGTCTGAGTCGCGAACCTGCAGCTGGAGTGTATGAGGGGAGACAGTAAGACAGAAGAGGCGCAGGTGGGGGGAGCAGTGCAGCCCCTCTCGGGGTGTTTTTGACTGAACATGGAGGAAAACAGCAGCTCCCTTCGTTTCTATGGGACGCGTCACGTGACCCCGAGTTCGGCTCGTGACACACGGACGCAGGCTCGAGGGACGAAAAACTTAACCGTCAGTCAGACAGACTAGCATCCACAGCGGGAGGAGGAGAGAAAAACAGCCCCAGAGAGGAGAAGGAGCGATAGGAGGAGGGCGGTGGAGCAGCCCGGCTCGGAAAGGTCGTTTTAGTGGCTTTAGCGGGTCTGTTTCTGTTCAGAGGAGCGGTGGGCTTCGCCGCCACAGCTCCCCTCGCTCACCGGACTCGCGCTCCGCCGCGGGGACGAGCAGTGTAAGAATCCTCTTTACCTCTCTTTTCTCCTCTTTTCTCCTCTTTCTCCTCTTTTCTGACGCTGTTTTTGTCGAGCTGGGCGAGAATGCGGAGTGGACCGTTCATTCAGCAGCGGGACGCGAAGGCACGAGCGCACTATTTAACGCCTCTAGTCGGCGAGGCTGGAGTTGGATTGTTACTCTCCAGCTTCTTATTCCAATTTTCCCGTTCCACCTTAAATGCTGCTGCAGTTCCAATGTAACACTGTTTAAGGTGGGACGGAACACAGATTTGTGTAGCTGTATTGCTTCTCGTCAGTCTCTAAATAAGCCGCTCGTGTGTTTGTGCTGTTTTGGCAGAGTCTCAGTTTTCAGTGACAAGGCCACTGTAGTTTCCCCTGAACCTCTTAAAGGGCAATTCCACCAATTTTGCGAAAAATTCTGCATAACTGAATGCGTAAAATGTAAACAGAGTCATTCGGAGTGGCTCTAGAGTCAGAGTTGTTCGCAGTGGTGGTGATGGGAACCAGACGTCTCGATAGTTTAACGCCTCTAAAAGCTCCCTCACTGAAAGTTATCACACTAGATGGTTATGAATTCACTGCCTGAAGCCTGATAAGTTACTTAATGAAGGTTTTGGCCTAAAATGTCTCGTTGATCCGTTTATTTTGATCTATTCATGGCGGAGGGATACATGCAGGCCGTTGCAAGGCAAAATAGTCCCCAAAGAAAACTTATTTTATCACTATTTATTATAGTTTTCCATTACTTTTATTTTGTTTTTCCACTATTTGACCGTCTTAAACATTACATATAAAACATGTAGACTCGTGTAGGTTCACTGGTGGTTTTGGACAGTAAATAAAACGGCTATATTTGTATTGTAGACCTGATGACCCTGGTTCCATTCACCACCACCATAAAGAGATCTGAGCATCTAACTTATGTACAACAAGCCATTTTACATCAGATCACTCTGAATGGCCTGGTTTACGTTGGAACTATGCAAACACTTGGTGGAAGTTGTTTGTTTGTCCTAGTTTTGTAATGTTGTTCTGATCAGTTTTTCCCAGCTTTGGCCCTGAGGGCCACAAGTCCCTGCACATTTTGGTGTTTTTCATGTTTCCAACACACCTGATCCATCTAAGCAATTTAGTCTGGTAGAGAGAGTGTTCAGAGTGATGCTCGCTCCACCATTTAGGAACCTTCCTCTTTGTGCTGAGATGCTTTGGGGAAGCTCACAAAATGTGCAGCTCATTTACAAGCCTTCCTGGCTTGCAGTGGGTGTGTCTGAGCAAGGAAACACTGTAATGTGCAGGGCAGCGGCGCCTCCAGGGGCCTTTCTCACGGAGCTAATTTAACCTGGACGGGGCTCGCGACACCTAACGAGTGAATACACGGTTAACTCTTTTAATGAAGGTGGGGAACAGCTGCCTCTGTTAACCTCTGATAAACAGGCAGTCATGAGGAGGAGCTGACAGCTTATTTTTCAAAGAAAGTAGAATAAATCTATGTACATATGTAGAAAGTAAAGCATTTCTAATGGTAAAGCAGAAACACCGTCGCCACCACCACCACCACTGTAAAAACACCTTCACATTCTTAATGTCTGTGCGCTGTGATTTGCTTCCTCACCTGAAGAAGCGATATTTTTCACTTGATTGATGCCACAAATGCCAGTCCTTGTAGGGGTCCACGTCCGTCGTCCCTGATATGTCAGAAGCTTGCTCTGATTGGTCCAAGAGCTGTTTATGATCTGAAATGTGGAGCAGGTTAGGCCTGCAGCATAGATTGCCGTGATAATGTAGCCTGGTAGAAATTAGGGCTGAAAGATGAATCGCCATATATGGAAGTTGCAATTAGAAAGAGTTCAGTTTTCAAATCACATGAGCAGCAGTTTTTATTGTTGTCAACAATGTTGACACGTTGCAAGTTTGAAATAAACTTAAGCCCCATATTATTGGGTTAGTGAACTGCTTCTGGATCATGCATGTCACACTGGGGACATTCCGGGCCAAAGTGTGGGGGAGATTACACTGTAATCCCGCATTTTGTATTAACTCAAATAAATTAAGTCTGTTGTACATAAAACTCAGTATATCCCACACACTGCTCAACAAGTTAATGGCTCAAATAAGTTAAGGGAACGTTTTTGATGATTTTGTACACTCAAATGGCATTTTTGAGTTGTATTAACTTAATGCTATTTAGTTTAGTCTGTTGCTATGGCAACTTTGAAACTCCACATTCAAAAAACAATGACATTTCTGTTGGTTTTAATTGTTTCTTTCTCACTGAAGTTGCTGAACAAATGTGTGAAACTGAGTGAAACTAAGTAAGCTTTGAATTAAATTACGTTTGTTTTGTTAACACGATTTCATTAGATAAAACGTATAGTTCTTTCCCATTGGCTCCTGGCTCCATCTATTTGCATACCGAGTGTTTCTTTCCGTTTGTTTTACTCACCGTCAGTGTGCTTTCATTCCACCCAGGCTGCTCTTCCTCAGGTGAATGTTTTTTATATGTGCTTTACTCAGCTGACGTTGTGTTGTTGGCTAAGAGTGAAGGTTGTCGTTCTCTTTGCTGATGAGTGGGCGTTTGTGTTGGTCAGTGACCGTGTTCACAGTAAAGGTTAACACTTCGGTGTTTAACAAAGTGATTAATATCACTTACATAGAAAAAAATTCTCAATTGCCTAATGAAACATATAGTTAAATTGCACTTTCAAGACATTAAATTACAATAATTAGAATTTACAAGTTGCACAAACATACGTTTATGTTAGCCTAACTCAAAAATTATAGTTATTCTAACTCAAGTTTTCATTACACGTTACTTATTTTTTTAAGGCAACCGGTTTCCTCAAATTTTTTAAGTAAATTTAACTTATCCGGGCTTACAGTGTAGCGTTTACCCTCATCTAACACTCGATATTCAGTTCATGAAGGCCCTGCTAATGAGCTAAATCAGGTGTGTTTAATGAGGCAGTGTGCTGAAGTCTGCAGAGTTTTGGCCCACGAGGACCGGAGCCTGACGCATGTGTTCTAGATTAATTTGGCTAATCAGAAACCACCAAACATCCGTGTACTGTGACATCACAACCACAATAACTGGCAGGCTTGCACGCAGTGTTAAACCTTCAAGCTGTAAGCCAGAAAAAGTAGATGCTGGTCTTCCCAAAAGAGGCCCATACCTCAATATATAGAAAACAATTGCAGTTTAAGTCTCAATATTGGTCAGAAAAATCATAATTGGATATTTTTCTAAAATCGTTCAGCTCTAGTACAAATGACCTGCTCTTGTGAGACAGAAAATACAGGAGTAGATCAAACTAAGCCAGAAAGTTAGCAGGATAAGCAAGAAATCCTGCTTCACGAGGCACTTGGCTGGACCAGGGTTGGTAAACACAGCTCTAGATCTCTGTTTCTTCACAATTTGTTCACAAAAACTCTGACATTTGTAACGTTATTTACATCACGAGGGTGAAGTGGATTAAACATTAAGGTAGTTTGATGTGGGGTAAAATGTAACATCGATGTTTTATGTGGTTAAACAGATTTAGGTAGAAAGTGCTTTTAGTCATGTTCTCGTATTCTCATAGAAATGTCATTGACAGCAATCAGATATCTCTCCAGATTCACCCCGAGGTCTGTTTTTCCATCTTCATATTGTTTTGTATATTGTTTTCGTCGCCCTCTGTGTGGCTGTTATAGCGTGTAAACTCACAGTGAGAGGTAGCTAGGCTAAAGTGCAGCCCCCACACAGCGGGGTTAACTTTAACACAGTGTCACAGCTAAGCCTCCTAAGTTAAACAGTGAGAGACGTCCACATCCTCGCATATGATTACAAATCAGTCAGGTTTTTGGAAGTTTTATTATGTTGTGCTGACATTTATTGTTCCACTTTGTGGTCGAAAATTCTTTTGACACACTTTGGCCAAAAGTTGCATCGTGTCATAGAGCTCCAGTGCGGTACTGTTCAGCAGTGGAATGACGGGATCTGTACGATACTGTAGGGGCAGATATAATATTATCTCAGTGTTTAAAGATAATTTCACATTTATAATGCGTCACAATGCTTTTTTTCTGATTTCTGATCACGCGCAGACAAAAAAAATCACCAGTAGAGTCACATTTAAAAATACTGTCAAAAACTGTGAGTTCAGATTATCTGTGTTCAACGTTTCTCATTCTGTGCTACACTAAGTCCAATTAACCAGGCCTAATTATGCTCTAGGACGTCTAGAACATGATAATGAGAACTGGTGTCGTGTTGTCCAGCCCTGTTTGAAGATTTGTTCACATAACATAGTATGTATTATAATATTTAGGCCCGACCCCATTTCCCTCCTCGCCCTTACCACTCAGCCCTACCCCTCCGTTTGCCGCGTTCATGTCTGGGGTAGGATGTCACAATTCTTGTTGAGATAGAGGGGGAGGGAAAAGTGTTAGGACTGCTTGACCCTCCAAACGGAGGTTTTTCAGAGACTCCAAACAGAGAGTTATGAGAAAAGAAAAAATGGCAAGATGGAGAACAAGAGACCAAAGAAACCCACAAATGTGAGGATTTTCTCTGTTAAATAATAAATAGTAACCATTGTATTGTCTTAGTTTAATGTCATTTCAGTGTATTTTGGTCCTTTTCTTCATAACAAGCATAAAAAATAGTTAATAGCATACTAATGTCTCGGTAGCTAGCTAGCTAAACTACCCGTTCCACCTTAAATAGTCCAGCAGTTCTGACGCCTGAAGCACCAGAATGTAACTGCTGCTCCATTTAAGGTGGAGCGGGAAAATTCAAACAAGAATCTGGTGAATATCTGACTTCAGCTTCATATCACTGAAGAATTAGGGGTGGGTGATAATAAATAATTGCCCCCCTCTTTGAAGGCAAATGATGCCCTAAATGTAACTAAAGCCCAGCAGTGAGGAGCTGAACTTTACCCTCCTCTGCTGTCACTGCAGACTGGCAGGGTCGCCTACAGAGCAGCGCTGGTAGCTGTTAATGAAGTGATGCTCTTTT